TTTTTTTTCCTAATTCTAGTTAACATATGACCCCATAAGATAGAAGAACTCCCCAAAATTAAAAGATATCACATTGATGCCATGAGTGTTTACATGATCATGGCAATGACGGACATAACACGAAACACAAGCATGGTACAAAGACACGAATAACACAAAAGAAAAAAAAAAATTGTTAAATTTAGATTTACTATCACATTTATAAGCAAATAAAATACATAAAAAAACAACAGAAAAACCACAAATGGTGCTGTTAGGCAGTAGCGAATGCGATGAAACGGATTGAATGGACGCTTCTTTACAGTTCTTATTTCAACCTTCAAACTCTCCATCAATTATTCCCATTTTCACACTCAAAATGCCAAAATTTCCCCACATACAAAATAAAATACATAAGAATTAGAAAAAGTTACATACACGCTTGCACGAGTTGGAACCTAAAATGTAAAAATTACATCAAGACTTGCAAAATGCATTGAGTGTGTCATCAAGGGCCTGTCTATCATAATCACCTGTGAAGACGCAATTGCCGAGCGCACCTTTCAGCAGGATGAGCCTTAGCAGGCCATCGGCTACCTTTTTATCCACCTGCATTCCGAAATAACCATATGGCTAAAGCTTCATAGAAAATAAAAAATAAATAAATAAAGGATGGTCCTTGTGTGAAGAAAATTAAGAGTGTGTTTGGTAAGTATCATAAGCAAGTTTATTGCTTATTTGGTTAGCTTATATGTTTCCTTTATCCAAAAAAAAGTTTTGGTTTGGTAAATCGAACATTTATAAAAAGTTCGAGCTTATCATAAGTTTCCTTGTGTAGTTTTTAAAATAAGCTCATTCAAATTTTTATTTCAGCTAGCTTATCAGCTAATTTTACTAAACACTCTTATCATATAAGCTATCTCTTAAGCCATAAGTCATAAGTTAAGAGCTATAAGCTCGAAATTTTACTTATAAGCTCTCAGACAGGTTTAACAAACATAGCCAAAGTAGTTTCATCTTACCGCCATAACAGACTTAAACATGTCGACGGTCATGGTGTCTGGTGGTGTTGTAGGTAATTTGGCCTGTTGCAGGATCATATGCACCCGTTTTACTAACGACTCATCTATCCAGCCAAGCCGGTAAGACATGTCAACTGCCATTACCTGAAAATTACACGCACAGATCAGAAAGTATGCACCCGTTTTGGCTTGCAACATGAAAGAACAAATGTTTTTTGAAGTTGGACAAAAACTTTAAGTTGACTCTCACATAACATTAAAATTTGTTTGAGTAAAGGGAGTAACATACTGTGCCAGCAGCCACGGCCTCCCCATGAAGCCATTGCCCATACCCAAAACCAGTCTCAATTGCCTGTGGATGCCCCATGGAAACAACATTTGGTAAAACACGACAATAACAAATAAAATTAAAATACAAAATAAACAATATTTAATAAATAACAAATCCAAGTTTGTTTTGATAGTGATTGGATTTATTTATTTATTTATTTATTTTTTTTGGTTTTGATTGAATATATTGGATAAAGTAAGTTAATTTTGAAAAAAAGTTGATTAAGTGGAAATGTGGGATATTGAGTTTGTATTTAAATAATATTTAAAATGGGATGATTAAAAATTGATATGATGTAAAAGAAGACGATAAGTTAATGAAAATGATAGGTAGTTAGAATTATATGAGTGGATGAATGGTGAATTGCAGTTGATATGATGTGTTAGGATGGTTGATTGGTATTGCATTGATAATATTGAGGAGAGTTGAGTTGGATTGTGATTTAAAAAGTTGCAAAAACAATATAGCAACCTTTACGATTTGTTTGGTAACACACACCATTCTGATCACTTAACTTTGACAACAAAAGTTGGATGTTCAAAGGCATCAATCCACATGGAATTACAACCGTTAAAAACAAAAAAAGCATCTCTGCAAATTTAAAAAGTGATACTCACATGACCGAACGTGTGGCCCAAGTTTAATGTTGCTCTCAGCCCACTCTCCTTCTCATCTAAAGACACAACATCAGCTTTATTTTCACACGAGCGCTGTATAGCATAAGCAAATGAGTTTGGGTCCCTACAAATAGCAAACACCCTTTACTCAGGTCAAGTCCATAAGAACAACAACGACAGGTTACATTGATAATAGACTACCAATTACATCTTCTAAGTTGGAAGCATGGTTGTTTTTAATATCACAGGTACAATCCATGAAATTATGGAATAAAGATTCACAAAAGGAACTCAAGCAACTAATTACGTTATGTTGCACAAACCAGATACTCTCAAAATAAATCCACAAATATCCAGTAAGGCAGTAAATAACACAACTACTCACACACACATACGCACATACCACCGTAAAAGTTAAGGTTACATACACACCTTGCCAGAAGTGCGTGCATATTCTTTTCTTGCCACTCGAAAAAATCGGCATCTCTTATCAATCCATACTTGATGACCTCCGCAAGCCCTGAAGCCAATTCGCGATCAGGCAATGTGTTCAACGTGTCAGTGTCAATGAGCACACACTGTGGTTGGTAGAATGCACCAATTAAATTTTTCCCGAGCCGGTGGTTTATACCAGTTTTACCCCCGACCGAAGAATCTACCTAAAAACACAAAATTCAAATGAGTGACCAGTAAACTTAAAATACAAATACACAACACAAGACATATCATTGGATAAACATCTCAGATGTTAAAAAGAAAATGGCTATACGCAGTATAACTCAAAAGACCTGTGCCATAACAGTAGTGGGGATCTGAATAAAGTTCACTCCTCGTAAATATGAAGCTGCGGCATATCCACACATGTCGCCAATGACTCCTCCACCAAGGGCAACAAATGTACACCGCCTGTCCATACGTGACTCGATTGCTTTATCAAATACTTCCATTAGTGTTTCCTGGGAAAGTGTAGTAAAATGATGCCCAAACTAAACTGAGGCTTGGAATTATATTGTTGTAAGATAATGATGTTCAGAAAGAAAGGGCTTAGAGTGTTCACCATGTTTTTAAATTGCTCTCCATCAGGCAGAATCACGCTCTCGACTTTAATGTTGGGATTTCCATTTGTTAAGGCCCAAATTGTTTTATCGAGATACAAAGGAGCTACCGTGGAGTTAGTGACCACAAGAACTTGCTTCCCATGGACATGCCTAAAATAAGGCAGACATGGTAGCTTATGAGAAACAAGGTTGCAAAAGGAAAAGAAGAGCCAAACTCACAACTCTCATTCTGAAATCAAATAAATAAGAAAAAACATAAATGAAAAGTGAGTGCAGAATCACAAACTCGGTCACAAACAATAGAAACAAAAGGAGTTGGAAGATATTAAAAGTTAGATGGATAAATTATAGAAATTATCTATCAAATCCAATAAACACTTATCTGAACTCAAGTCCTCTAGTATACCGATTGCCAATCCATAACTTAGCTAAAATTTAGAATGTTGCAAACAAACAATAATCACACTGAGAGGAAACATACCATCATGTTTGGGAGAAGTGCTTTAAATAAAATAAAATTGATTGTATCAACATGATAAGCCAGCCACTACATGGCTATAGTTAGTGGTTAACAATGCTTGTATCGGTGGACTTAGCTAGAACAGATGAGAAAAGGCCCTTTGCTGAGAATCAAGAATTTTCAACACAGACTCACTCTAGCTTCTTCACTAAACCACACCAATCGGCCTACCATTCTACTCAAGACCATAAAATCATTAATTACATTCAAATCCTCATTAAGCAATGTGGAGTGGTGTTACAGCAAAAAAAGAAAACTAATTACTTATCAGCATAGCACAATTCAAACAATAACAGAGGTTCATGCGGTCTCCACCGACAGCTCGTGCACTCAGTGAACTATCGACTAACCACTCAAACAAAACTCACCATCAGCTCAATTTCACCAACACAAAACGAATCAAAAAAGACGATGCAAAATAGAAAGAACAAAGCAATTGCACAGAAATAGGCAAAGGCGATGCAAAAAAATTCTACCTCTGCAGCAGCTCAGGCTGGCCGAGAAGACCCGAACCTATGTAGATCGGGTAGCTCCGATTGCCCAAATCGACATCCACAATTGTAGGAACTGCAGGGGGGGAGGAAGGAGAGGCGGTCTGATCAGCCACGACAGCAGCAGGCGTCACCGAGGCATTCAACATCAGCCCCAAACTCCGATTGTTGTAATCGAACGGCAGACGAGGCTTCGAAGATAATGGGACAGGGACGCGAAGGTGCGTATGATGTGGGGAGAGCTTACAGGGGTTTAGGGATGGGGAGGAGAGGGCGAGAGCGCGGCCGGGGTGGAGGGAGGAGGAAGCAGCTGCCATCGGCGGCGGCAGCAGCGGCGCGCGGCGGAGACAACTGGTTACGGCGGCGTACGGCGGCGTCGGCGGCTTAATGGAATTTCAACCTATGAAAGCGTATCGTGTGGACTGAGTTTGCTCCGTGATAGCGATTTTATTTATTTGAGAATTTGATTGTTGGTTTTAGGTGCTCGAGTTTGGTGAGTGGTAGGTGGAGACATCTAAATATTATGTTTTAATTTATTTATTTTTTATCAAACAAAAAGGAATAATAATTTTTTATGCACGTTAAAATTTAGTACAATAATTTTGGGAAGATGCTAGAGTCCCGTTATAAAATCATTCTGTCCGATTTTATAATAGTTTAATCAACTATCTCTGACAGTTACATGAAACTTAGCATTTCCCATAATTTTGACTAATTTTCTACTAATTTATAAAGTGTAGATGATCATATCCATTTTGGACATTAACCAAGCACGAGGATATAATGGGCCAACGATGGATGTTTGGCCCGGATATTACAGCCCACTACAAACCATAAACGGGTCAACAATAAATAAAACCGACCCGATTAAAACCTCCGTCGTCTCGATCGAACAAATAGAGGAAGCTAAACAGAAATGGATAAACCTTAAACCCCGACTGCGAAAATGGCTACACTCCAGCTCGCAATGCACCACCGCTCTCACTCCTTCGCCCGAAACCCTCACACGGCCGTCAAATTCTTCTCCCCAAAACCCAAATTCCCCCACAAATTACGACCCCCCAAATCCTCATCCGGCGAGACACCCTCAGCCCCCCGCCGCCGCGGCAGAAAAAAATCCAGCCCCACCGCGTCGCCGGCTACGCCGTCGTCATCCAAGAAGAAACCCAAGCGGCCCACCAAAGCCGACGAAGCCCCGAGCACCCCCGCAGTTTCCGACAAAATCCCCGACGCCGGCGACGAGCTGTACGACTTCGACGACGGCGTCGACTTACCTTACGAGGATCCGCCCCTGTTGTGCTGCATCGGGGCAGCCCGGAAGGAGTTTCTGCCGACGGTTAGGGTGTCGGAGGACCAGATGCACCCGGACATGTACTCCCAGTGGAAGATGCTCCAGTGGGACCCGCCGGAGTTCGCGAGGGCCCCCGGCGGCCCGCCGTCCAACGTGGCGATCTCCCACGCTAGGCTCGGCGGCCGGGCTGCCTTTATCGGGAAGGTCGGGAATGACGAGTTTGGGGAGGAGCTGGTGCTGATGATGAACAAGGAGAAGGTACAGACGAGAGGGGTTAGGTTCGACGAGAGCTCGAGGACTGCTTGCAGCCACATGAAGATTATATTTGACGAGGGGAAAGTGTTGGCCGAGACGGTCAAGGAATGCGCGGAGGATTCTTTGCTCGTGTCGGAGTTAAACCTCTCTGTGCTCAAGGAGGTAAAAAAAAAAAGAAAGCTAAATCTTGAAATTTGAATGTATGGCTAATGTTTGCTTGGGAGTTTTCTGGAGATATGTTTAGTCTTCATAATCTTGCATTTAGGTCTAAGATGAGCAATGGAATAAAGTTATTATGGATTTTGAGTTTTTCTTGATTGTGCGGTATGCAGAAATTTGTACTTGGATCGTAGGTCAGTAGATCTTTCGGTATAGATATCGAGTAATTGCTTGCATTGCTAGACACAAGTTGAATATTGGTTCTGCTATATTGGTGATGTTCTTCTTATTGTAAATATTTAAAACACGAAGACAGTGAGTTCTTGAGAATTTCAATAAACTCAAAATTGAAACAAGCATTGTTGAATGCTTGTTGAACTCTTTTTCGAGTGGAGCAATTATGCAGACTTCCTATTTTCATCTAACAGTCTCGAAAGATATGTGCATGCTCGCGAAAATGCTCCATCTGAATTGATGAATTTCACAACACTATAATACATCCATTGAGTTTGTTCTAAACATGAAGTTAATGTTTGCTAAAAGTGCTACTTCTTCACTCATTATCATTACAACAAAAGTAAGAAAAAAAAAACGTGGCATTTTCACAAATTTCTCTCTTTCCCGTGCAGGCCCGAATGCTCCACTTGACCTCCGATACCCTCACCTCACGCTCCACGAGATCCGCCCTCCTCCGAGCCATTGCTTGGTCCAAGAAATTCGGCGCCCTCACTTTCTTCGATCCGAACCTCTCCCTCCCTCTATGGAAATCCCGAGACGAAACACGGGCCATTCTCAAGCCCGTGTGGGACCAAGCTGACATCATCGAGGTCACGAGGCAAGAGATCGAGTTCCTCCTCGACGAGCCTCGCTACGAACGCATCCGAAACTACAAACCGCAGTACTATGCGGAGAGCTACGAGGAGATGAAGAGCCGTCGAAACTTCCATCATTACACGCGTGAGGAAATCGAGCCTCTTTGGCACGACGGGCTCAAGTTGCTTTTTGTCACAGACGGGACTTTGCGAGTGCATTATTATTCGCCGGTTTTCGACGGGGTTGCGGTGGGGACGGAGGACGTGTTGATAACGCCGTTCACGTGCGATCGAACGGGTTCGGGGGATGCGGTTGTGGCGGGGATTATGAGGAAGTTAATGATTTGTCCCGAGATGTTTGAGGATAAGGATGTTTTGGAGAGGAATCTGAGGTTTGCGATTTCGGCCGGGATTATTACGCAGTGGACGATTGGCGCCGTTCGAGGGATGCCGACCGAGAGTGCGGCACAGAATCTTAAGGAGCAAGTATACGTGCCGTCAATGTGGTAAGCGGCTCGGCTGGGCTTGTGTTAATGTGTGTATGGTGTGAATTGGGAGAACTGGTTTGTGTTCATTTCGTGACTCTCGAGGAATTTGATTTGTGTCTTGATGTTTAATGAAGTGTGTTGTAATGAAAGGGCCAAACCCAGGGTTTTTTTTTTCAATGTTATTTCACTCTGAACTCTGAAGCTCTTTGTGTGTGTGTGCTCTGTTACCTCTGTAATCAGTCCACGGTAAGTTTGATTTGAAATGGATTTTTTAACGTAGGATAAATACATACACACATACCCACATGAGCGTGTGTATGTATATAGAAGGTTGATACTTGATTCCATGTTATCGGTAGGTCGGAATGTTACTAAGTAGACACTCCACGCTCTTTGGAGCACGTGGGAAAATTTTCCAGAATATAATTTCAAATACAAATTCTTGTACGAGTCAATCTAACCATTAGACGGATCAGACTCGTCATATTATTTAGCAAAAATGCATTTACATACTTTTGTTTAACTTGTTTTCTATAATATGATGTTTCATCTGAAATGTATGTGTATATATGTTGAAAAAAGTATGTGCAGCAATAATCAAGATAATCTATCTGAACTTAGGACCAATAAACAAAAAGATAGAAAATAAATAAAGGAAATTGTGTCTAAATAAAGGAAAATGTGCCTGATCTGTGTGTACTCAGTTCTGTTTTCTGCTGTATAAACCTTCTTTTCCCGCCAAANNNNAAAAAAAAAAAAAAAAACTCAACACACTGCATGAGAAAGAAAAACACCTCTTGCAGGGCCAACATATTCTACATTCTCTCCTTTCTGGCTTTTCTCTTGAACATCTAATTTTTTCTCGTGTTAAAAACAAAACAAAACAAAAAAAATTACTCAGTCGCAAATACAACCGGGATACGGGTTCGCGTAAAAGCTCTCCTCGAGCCGTGGCAAATCTCCTAATTTCCTCAAGTAAGGTGCTCCGATTCGGTCCTTGTGCAGTTTCCTAACCTCTTCGCCAAACTCTTCCCGAGTTATCGAACCATTGTCCAACAAATCCACGAGCCTAACAAAATTCAACCTAAGATAACACACAAAGAAACACCCAAAACAAAAAATAAAAAATAAGATAAGTTTACCACAAAAATACAGCAACAACAACAGCAACAAACTACCAATTACGAACCTGTCGGGATTTATGGTCCGTCTAAACCCTTCGAACATTCGATGCCCCTGCACGGCTTTCGCCATATTCCCATCATACGTGTAAACAAACACGTCACTCTCCAAAGCAACAATATAATCCAATGCCGCTAACCGGTTCTGAAAAAGCCCGATACCTTCAAGCTCATCAGGCCTCGCCAGAGTCGAGTGGGTGAACACATTCGGGTACTCGGCCCGAAACGCGTCCATGCTATGGGCCCCATATATCCGGCCCGCTACAATGTAGATACGGGCCGAGCTCGGGTAGCCCATTGCTTTCAAGAAAAGCGCGGCCTCTCGTGGGGTCATTGGGCAATGGCCCTGAGCTCGCTTTTCTCTGCTTTTGATGTCTTTTTCTTTCCAATGTCTTACGTTGTATCTCATTGTACGAAGCTCGTTGGCCTCGGACGAAGTCAAGTTGTGGCTGCATCCGGTGAATGCCAGCATGTCTTTCTCATATCTAAGCCCGACAAAGAAGAGATTCATTTTTTTTTTTTTTTCCGTACATTTTGCACGAAAATAATAATCATGTAAGATTTTTACGGTTTATACCTCAAATGAAGAGCAATGTACGGTTCATTACCGTCTCTCAACCTCTCGACGAGCTTCTTACCAAGCTCTTCGATCTTGGGAGTGTAGCGAAGGGCTTCATAGTTCGCTCGACACCTCAGCTTCTGGATCGATGGCGACATTCCGTTATTGGCTAGTCGAGAATCGGTATGCGTGAATTGAAGCACTTTACGCTTTTTGAGTAGGTTAAGGATTGATGTCTTGTAATAAGTGTTCTGCCAAAAATAAAAATCTGGAAAATTTTAGATGAAGGGCTCTCTACTTATACAGAAGAAGTTCATCAAGTCTCAAAATTGCAAATGTAGCTTGGAATTTATACTTAATACGAGCTTGAGCTCGGCTCGTTTATCAATATCCAACAGTATATAAGGTGTATACAGAAATTTGGATAGACCTTAGACCAAGAAACAGGTGCTTTTCTCAGGGGCTTCACAGCTCTGTATTTTTGTGGTAACTTGTCAACAATCTCTATATCATCCCTTAATGTGTCCACAAAATGCCTCCAATCAAAAATGTCCTTGAACTCACTACAAGAAAAAAAAAATATTACGAAAAAATATTTCCACAATGATATCAAAAGATTGAAATGATAGCCATAATAATAAAGAGAAATGCTACGGTCCCATTACGGCCCCGTAGAAGGCGAATATATTCCGACGGTTACATGATGATCTAACGGTTACAAATCCCGACAGAATGATTCCGTAATAGAACCGTAATATTTCCCAATAATAAATCCTAAGAAATGAAATAAAAAGGGAAGTTAATGTGATGGGCAATACAAATTGAGATATAATTAAAATTGTACCTTGGGTCAGTCCAAAAGCTAGAGTGATCAAGGGAAGGGAGCACAAGAGTTGCATTTACAATCTTTGCTATGGCAACCATGTCACATATCTAATCATGCATTAACAATTGTAATTAATCAACTAATAACAAATTAATTAATGAGATACTTAATCACAACATTGAAATGTAACTGAATCTGTATTTTGAAAATAATTACAATATTTGAGATAAATTTATTAGTATTGAAAAATTGCATAAATTTGATAAAAAAAAATGTATAAATATTGCACCTACTCCTATTCTCATCTGATTCAGTCCTCCATTGGCCTGAACAAGGATATAACCATTTGTTGGTTCAGATTGTTTCCCTGAACATCAGAAATTATATAATTTGTATTTATTTTTTCAATAATAATAATAATAATAATAATAATAATAATAATAATAATAATAATAATAATAATAAAGTTTGACATACTAATTTTATCTTTCGGCCGATTGATACATTTGTGTACTTGATCACTTCTCGGTCTCCTCCATATTTCTGGTAGCTGCATGTAAAGAAAAAAAAAAGGAAACTCGTAACTTTTTGCACGAGGTAGTCGAATTGTTATGTGAGTCGACCCGTTATATTTTTTAAAATAAAAATATATTCGTATAATAAAATATTATACTTTTATTTATTTATTTACATGAAAGATAACAATTGCTTAACTGTTATGTCTATAATTTATTATGAAGTAATTTTGCAGTCCAAAAGTATTTTATTAATTATGTTTTGTACCTTATTATATTTTAGTAATTTTAGTAATTTGTGGTCAAAGACATCCAAAGAAAAATTCAAGCCCTCAATTTTTTCGTTGCAGCCCACTAACGTCGTGGGTCAAAAACAACATAAAATAAACAAAATTATCCTAAATATATTATTCCCTCTTTAATTAATTTTTGCTCAAATAAAAAGTTGCATAATTCAAATCTTTGTTGAATTTCACACATTTTCTTCTGCTTTTTTTTTTTTCTTTTTTTAAACTTTTTCAAACCAAAACTCCTCAATCGCAGGCTTAAAATACATGTCAAATTTCAAAACAATCACAAATAATTCCACAATTTAATTATAAATTCCTAGCTGGCACTAAAGCAAAATTTCGGCCAATTAAAAAACGACAAGTGTCGAATATGGTGTTAATAATCAATTTAACAATTCTCGATTTAAAAATTGAATAATTTAATCAGATTATTGTATAATTTTTTAATTTACGATATTTATTTAATCAGTTAACAAAGTAGTTGTCGTCATGTCGTGTTTATCGATGACAGTGTTTATATTAATAAAGTAATACATTACGTCATTTTGTAATAAAAAAAACCAAATAACATTAACATAATAATAATAATAATTATTATTATATATTATTATGATTATTATAATTATAATAACTGAAACATAATTTAATCTACTCACCGGCAAACGCCTCGCCGGCTGCCTCTGCACGGAAACCGATTCCGACTCGTCAAAAACCGCCTTGGCCGAGAAATCGCCGTTCAAATTACGAATAACCGACGTTGTCTTCCTCGTGATCTCCTTCTCCGCCGCGCTCCCGCCGCCATCGCCTCCCTCCGCCGCGTCTCCGCCGTCGGCGCTCAGCGCCAGAAAAAACTTCACGTAGGCCGACATCACCGCCAGCGCGAAGAGCGCCAGCACGACTTTCTGGCCGGCATTCCTTCTCGAAAAGAAAAATCTCCAAATTCCACGCAAATTCGACGACCTAATATTATTATGATTATTGTTATTGCTGTTGTTGCTTGTCAGTGATTCTGAATCCACGTCGGATTTCGCTCGGCTCGGGTCTGGGGGATTCTCCGGGCGGCGGCGATGGTGGATTGGGACGGCGGCTGTGGCGGCGGTGCCGCTCGTTGCCCCTCCGGTGGACATTGTCCGGTGGGAGTTTTTTTTTTCGTATGAAGAAAAAATACTAAATGGAGAAAGTAGTTTATTTTATCCTAAGGTTGAAAGATTAGTGAGGCGTAATATGAGGAAGCGAACTGAAAACGGGAAATGAGGAGAGAGAGAGAGAGAGAGGGAGTGAGAGAGAGAATAAACTCTGATTGGTCAAAGGGGTTTTATGTATTGTTGTGAATTTGTGATGCTAATTTATATAGTTAGAAAAAGTATGTGGTGAAAAAAAAAAAAAGGTAAATAAAGGATTTCACTTTTTGGTTAAGCAGAAAGATACAGTCTCGTTACGGAACTATTCCGTCGAGATTTGTAACTGTCGGGGATAGTTGATCTAACGGTTACAAAATTTCGTAACGAGACCGTAGCATATCCCCAAGCTTTACGACATTAGTGATATTTAGTTGTTTTGATTAACATTTTTTGTGAAAAATAATATTTTTCATTCAATATCAAATTGTATTACTTTTTTACACTGTCTGCTGACAAACTAACATTTCCAACTGAAAAGTGTAAAAGCATTGTGCAATGAATACACAACAATTATGCGATTGATATGCGATAATTATGCAGTTCATCCGCAAGACATTTCGCACTTACTTTCTAGGGTTAAAAAAGTTAAAGAAAAAAGACATTGTGTGATGAATATATGACAGTTATATATGCAACGAATATGTGACAGTTATGCAGTAAATTTGTATAACCCTCTTCAACACTTTCTGGGGTTAAAAGAAAAGATAAATTATGAGAGAAATGTGTGAAAAACTTACTATATCAAATTTATAGTGATGTGAACAAAATGTGCGCCCTTAGCATTGGTATATGGATTAAAAGTAGTATGTGAATGAAGATCACGACGTCTTGATACGTGATTTATAAACACATCTTAATGTAAACAGGTGTATGTTATGTTTCTTTCAGATATTCATGCACCATGAATGCTCGAAGCAGTAAATTAATTGAACTTAATTATAGAAAAATAATCATTAATCATTCCATTAGAAGAAGCTAGTTGCAAAATTAATATTCCCATTTATCATTTTGGTCTAACAAATAGACCAGCATACATGAGTATGTATAAGTATGCATTTTCTACATTCAGCTTGCAAAAGACAAAGTTGTAATCATCATTTTTGAATCCATGTATTAACTTCAAAATGTGCCGACATTTAAAAATTATGCCTAAATTGAAATTGAAGTAAATTTTATAAAATTTTATAATTTATTTTGTAAATAAAACTTAATCTTTAATACAATTATCGCTTAGAAAAAAAAAATTATATGAGTCAAGCCCTAACTTAATTTATAAGTGTTATTAATAGGAATTAGGCCTTAGCTCCAACTGATCCAAAGTGTCAATGTTGAGTAGGGGATACATAGGGCTTCAATCTTGGCTATTAAGGATTTGTTGAAGAGGCAATGATCGGTGAAGGTATGTCATGGATTTCGAGAGTCCACCTTTATTGCAGATTGCATGGTGAGGGAGGCTACAAGGAGCCCGGGTGGATACCAATCTTTCGAAGTGCCGTCGGATGAGGTTTGAGAATGGTTACACCATGATATTGTTGGGGTCTCGTACCCTCGACACGTACGGATTTCTGGTACTAAGGCATTAGCCTCTCTCTTTGTACCAAAAAAAAAAAAAAAACTGTTCTAGTCCCACTTGGGCTAGCTTGCATGCATGAGGCCTAAATTGGGCAAATTGCACGGATTTCAAGCCCAAAGCCCAATCATATGTAATCCACCTTAAAACTTCAAAATCTAGGGTTTTATCTTTCACGAGCCATCACCATCATTTCATCGTCTCCAAGTCGCCGGACAAACCTCAGAGACTGCATCAATGGTGAAAGGGCGCCAAGGCGAGCGGGTCAGGCTCTATGTCCGTGGAACAATCCTCGGATACAAAAGGTTCAATTTTACAACCAAATTTTCAAATTGATCAATCTTTTCTTCATTTTTTTCCCCTAATTTTGTATATTGTAAATGATTTCAGATCCAAATCGAATCAGTATCCGAACACGTCACTGATACAGATCGAGGGCGTGAACACGCAGGAGGAGGTATCGTGGTACCTCGGGAAAAGAATGGCGTACATCTACAAAGCCAAGGTGAAGAAGAACGGGTCTCACTACCGCTGTATCTGGGGGAAAGTCACGCGCCCGCACGGCAACAGCGGCGTGGTTCGCGCCAAGTTCAAGTCCAATCTTCCCCCGAAAGCAATGGTATACTGAGCTTCATCCAAGTTTTTATTATTTTTTTTTTTTTGGTTCCCTGTTTTTTTTTCTTAAATAGTTTGATTTGAATGAATTGAATGATGTTGTTGAGTCGAATTTTATGTTCCGGTGATTGATTGGAATTGAGTTGAGCTATTTGATTCCATTTTGGTGAGAATGAATGTTAGTGGTGATGGCTTGAAGGGTCTACATAGGTACTTGTACATTGTATTCACGGTTGAGTGAACTGTATGCTTGAGTTCATCTATATTCTGCCGGGGTTTATGTTTTTTCATGTGTGTGTATAAAGGTAATGCTCTTGAGTTGATGGAGGTAATGCTAGTTGATAGCTTGGTAAAGACAGAGTTTTTATTCAATTGAGAAGTCGAAAAAAGCAAATCCGCCCTTTATCTGTCGAGTAGTTTCGTTAAATGTTGAGTTTGATTTGGAAATGTTGTGTACGATTAGCATAGTGCTTTAGCAATAGCTTTATTGATGATTTCTTGAAATGTTTCGTGAAACAGGGAGATAGAGTGAGGGTGTTCATGTACCCGAGCAACATTTGAGGTAAACACTCGAGCTCGAGCTATTTACTGAATGTGTGCTGGATAGGTCCATGATATGGGGCTTCTCTTTTTTTATGTATAAAATCTTAATAGCAAATGCCCTCATAAAATTAGTTCCATTTTTACAAATTGCTTCATATGGGAATAATATAAAGTTTTTTTAGTTATAAAGTCTTCAATGGTTCATTTGCTTCGATAGTAAAGAAAATGTACGTATTTCCCTTTACGACTTGTTGTAGTTATTCATATTTGTCCTGTTTCGATGTTTGTCCTGGTCTATACAGCGTTTGTAATTTGTATTTTTCTTCTGTTTTTTTGCAGTGATTGGGGTTTAGTTGGTCGAGTTTGGAGTATCAGATGCTGGCTCTTGAAGATTTAAACTAGTTTTGACTCGTCAAGAAATTTCTTGGTATTGTTGTTGGCCTTTTTTTTCTGTTATTCCATTCTCATTAAAATGATATGATTATAAGTTGTTGGAGATAGTTTTAAAGTTTCAACTCTGTTTTAACATTTTGAGATTTTGATCTTTCATGTGTGCGAACTCTGGCATAATATGTGCTTGTGATTTATGCTTTTGAAGAATTTTTTTTTTTTTTTTTTTTGTGGATGTTATTATCCAATCAAAATTAAGAAATGTTTGTTGAGTTATATTATTCAAACAAGTCAATAATATTGATAAATGTTGGAGATTTGGGAAACTTTAGATTGGAAAAATTGATAGTGTGCAAATTTGTCAAATGGGCGACAATTTTGTCTTTGTAACATACAACAGTCAGTTAATAATTTAAACTTTTCATTGATCTTTTTAATGGGTGGGGATATTGGCGAGACAAATTAAAAAATAAAATAAAATTAGGTGATAGATAGTAGGATTGGATATAAATATAACTCTAGTACAATATCCATGTACAATTCAGTTAAAAAATATATAATAAAATGAGTTAAGAAATATATAATAAAAATTATTTATGTCTAATATCAAATCTAATTTCAGAACAAAAATAATATACAAATATTACTATTTGAATTTTGTTTTGAGCAAGAAAAGAAAATGGATTCAAGTAGATTTTTATGGAACGTATCCAGAGCAAAAATAATATACAAACATCACGAAGTATAGACTTATATTATGTCAGCATTTCAAGCGTCAAAATCTGTCATTTAAACTCAATACGATTTAATCTGTCATTTAGACTCAATATGATTTGAATTAATATATGAGGGATTTTTTTATTATTTTTGAAAAAAGAATTGTCTCCTTTAGAAAAAAATCAAAGAACATATAGAATAGGAATCAGGAACGACCAATATAAGTGACAAATTAAAAAAAAAATAATTGATAAATATTCCAAACAAAATTCCTCCAAAAAAATGCCTCAAACTAATTCTTGCAGAAAATCCTGCACATATAACTTAAAATTTAATTATTAAGTTCAATTGAGCAGCTAACTCAAGAAAAAATGCTTAAGCCTGGGCACCTAGCTCCAGCATGAGTGTGTGATTGGTGAAATTCGATGTCGGCCCCGCATACTGAAGAGGACCTGTCACAGATTAAGGAGAGAAAATAAATAAATAAATAAATATATCAATTAAAAAAAAAATCAACACTCATGAAATAAAATTAGTCTAATTTACAAATAAACTCCAGTTGGTTTGAAGTATAAGCCATCCAGATTGTAATAAAAGAGGTTTACCTGGACTGAAATATTGATTCTTCAACGACCATTGTTCACGCAGGGACGCAAATTTTTTGAAAGGGGCGCCTGAGAAAAATACGTAAAGAAAAAATACACGCTTAGAACCGCGCAATAGGAAAATTCGTTTGATGGAAAATGGAAGAATAAGAAAACGAGCTTATAGAATTATTATACCTTCAAGCTCCACCATTGCCTTCTTAATAACAGGCTTAAACTTTCCTGCACATCCACACCAAAAAATGTGTAATTTTTCATAATATTCATGAGGTTTAACTTGAAGTGACTGTAATATGATACAACAATCAATATGTGAATATTTTCAGAGGTAACATTTTAGTATAATTGGATTACTAACACAGGAAAAATTTATTTACCGTGTCGCCTTTCGACGTCCATCAATGACGTTAGTGCAGTCCCACCTACGGTCCATTTTTCGACTGGAGCACCCAAGTTCCCCACCTACCAATGATTTAAACAGATTTAATTTTCTTTTATTTAAGAAAAAGACCCTTGAATTTTTGTAATA